GCAGTGCTGGGTTAACGGTTGGACTTGATGGTCTTAAGGGTCTTTTCCAACCTAAACGATTCTATGATTCTTTTCTAAGTCACACTTCTGGAATCTTAAGGATGGAAGATGGCCCATACTGAAAAACTACATCCCAACTCTAAGAAATGCTCACTTTTTTTTTTTAAAAGGAGCTCAGTTTCTAGAAAGGCAGGCAATGCTGATCACCTCCCAGAAGTCTGTCCTGTGCTTGCATCAACATATTTCATTCCTTCCCAGCAAACCGTGCTCAGCACACTCTCAAAGATTATTTCAAAATTAGCTTGCATGTCAGGCTGTACAAGGTTGAAAAGCATAGATTTCCATCCCAGTAAGTTGCTGGCAGGGTACTTTTTCTTCCTATCATAACTCTTCTGCATAACAGGAATGAAAATACTGCCCACTGCACAGTCTAAGCTGGAAATCCTCACACAGCAGATGCTACTTTGGGGACTAAGTGCATTTACAGTGACCTTACCCCCACGCTTCTGTGCCTGATTTGGCAAAACGGCGTCTAACTAACACCGAGAGCCACCCCGCGCAACGCACCCCTGTGCGCCGTACGGAGCAGCTGATGCAACCCCGTCCTGCGCAAACAGCGAGCACCGACCGCGTTGCCAGCGCCTCGGCACAGCGCCAACGCTCCCGCGAGCTCCGGGAAGACAAGACGGGCCCGAAGGACAACAAACGGGCGAAGAGTCAAATCTGAAGAAAACAATGAACCTTGGGTCATGATATATTAATTCTGTAAACAAAAAAATAACCAAATTGAAACACTGGAAGAAGAGACTATTAACTCAGCAGAACAAGGACGGGAGGCTGGAGATGCAGAGAGACTCTCTGAGCTTTTAGGCTCAGGTTCAAAGTTTTACAAGCCTGCAGCGTCAACTCCTTTGATATCATAATAGTTCACATTTCCCTGAAGAATTTAGCTTCTGGAGTCAAGTTACGTAAGGAGAAGCTTTTGTTTTAATCTATGTTTTCAGTTTCTCCTTAATTTTTTCAAGACCTTATTAAGTACCTCTCCTATGGGAGATGATCAATCTCTTCATTTTGCAGGGTTTACTGTGGTCTCTGGCTTTTGGCCACACACTTCTTTAGGTCGTCTGAACAGAACTTCAGCTGTTGTCTACGGTACAAGTTAAAGCTGAAGCCTTCAAGTACAGGTATAAACACCAAAAAGTTACAGAAGAAATATGAACCAATTTCTTTTAGGGATATTTCACTCTGCCTGGTTTGCCTCCTCCTCAGATGCAAAAATAATAAACCCTATTAATTTAAATCTTATTTAGCTGTTCCATCTCTCCACAATAATTGATTGGGCTTTAGAAACTCTGCCAGAAAACATAATCAAATCAGGTTTGCCTGGTGACTGTGCAGCAATACACAGTATCAGAAAGCCTCGGTCCCCAGACTTGCTCTAATTGATTAAAAGATTTGGTCACTTGCACATTTCCATTTAGACAATTAAGCTAAAGAGACATTACAACCACAGCGAGACCAGCTGAGAGCAATAATGGATAGTGACAGACTTTTTGTAGGGAGAATTATAACTTAGGGATGTTGCAGTAATTAAGGTGTTTCTTTCCCCCCCCCCCCCTTGCTCTTGATGCAACAGCCTCAGGAGTTCAGCGCAGCATGACTGCTGCCTTGCAGGGGGAACGCCACACAAACGGACGATCTGCTTTTCCTGCTCTCCAAAGAAGCTGCCACGTTACAAACCTGCATCACCGACCTCTCAGCCAGCTCTCTGAAGGGGAGAGGCAGGGAAGCACGAGCCAGCAGTCACACCAGTAAGGGTGCCCTGGCAGGCGCGATATCATCATCTACCAGGCGCGATATCATCATCTACCAGGCGCGATATCATCATCTACCAGGTGCCAGAAGGAGAAGGAAGGTCTCCAGTGCAGAGTCAAGCTACATCTTTTACAACAAACCTAACTTTCTGAGTGTGTTTGGATGCTGGCTCCACCCATGATGCCTCGTTCAGGGCCCAAACGTGTCAGTCACGACCAGCCAACTACAATGACATCCAATTCCCAGGGAAAGTGGCTGAACTACAGCATTTCTTGCCAAAGTGAGGAAAACAAACCGGCTCCTTGGCCTTTTCCTCAGCGATCCTGGGAGAGTTGCGGTGGTTATGCAGTTGGAAACATTGGCAGACTCTACAAATGTCAAAATCCTGAAAGAAGAGATCAAGGGAAAAAAAAAAAAAGAGAATCACAGCAGTCTTATCTGCAACTTAGTGGGCAGAGCTGCACGACGAGACCAGCAAGGCGTAAAACCTGTATTAAAAACATTTTGCCAACAGTAGATCAAAACTATTGCTTCATATGTCTCCAACAGCACAGATGGTAACTGCTAATAAGAAGGTAACATGCTTATCCTACCCAGCCCCTGGTGCCTGCGATTCTACATTTAGTCTCATATGGTTAGGAATCTGCAAGGCGTGGTGGGTTTAAAATAATAAAAATATAGATCGCTAGATAGTCCTGGCTATAGGGTTTGTAAACTGTGCTGACATGCAACTGGTGGGGAGGAAGGGGGGCATGGAAGTTTCTTCCTGCACCAAATGAACCTGACCTGGCACAGCTCACAGCCTCGTGAAGGCTGCAGCAGCCCAAGCACAGGGTCTGAAAAAGCAACCAAAGCAGAGAAAGCTTCTTTCAGTTCTGCTTTATGTCAAGCTTAAGGTGTACATTAAGCAAGCCTTGGAATGAATCTCAAACTGAGCCTTAAGTCTTCCAACTCTGTAGATGTCTGAGAAGAGAAGACAGACAGCTGCAGTCCATATGGAAAAGTCCAACAACTGCAACCCATTTCACCCACGGAAGGTAAATAAATGAGAATATTTTTCAGCACAGTCCCCTAGAAAGCTGTTTGCATTCAGGTTGTTACCATTAATAAAATAAGCATTCTAGCATTTGTTATCATTAGGGCTACTGTTTCCAGGATTCCTCTTAGAAGTGACAAATGACAGCTACAGGATGAGGAGTTAGAGGCACATGGAAGGTATCACACATGGCGATTTATCCCAATTACTGCACTTCTCCATTTGTACTAGTTTGACTTCCCTGATTCAGTCCCATACTCCAGACACAGGCTGCTGCTGCTAAGTACCAGAGTTGGATCATTTTGAAGGGGAACAGTGTTAAATGGTCTGCAGTGCAATACTAGGAACAAAATGCCTCGTTCTGGTGATGTTATTGCTTTCTATTTGGTGTTTATGTACCTTCTGTGTAGGGACGGAGGGATAATATGCATGGCAATCTTCTTCCTACCAGTGCAGAATTAAATGCACCATTGCAGGCTGATACATTGGATAAAAGGAATGAGCCGCAGATTTTTCTTCCCAGTCATTAGATTGCTCTGTAGAAAAGCAGCAAAACTTGCCCATTAAACATGCTATTTGCTGTGTCCTTTCAAGCCAGGCTATGATGAAAGCCATCAAGAGCACCACTTAACATTTTGGTATAGACTCCCAAATGTAAACTTAACAGGACGACCAGTGTCGAACGCTTATACTTAACACTAACGTGGGAGACAGCTTCAAAGTGCCTTCAAAATTATAGCAGTCCTTTTGCACTGATGCTGTCATTTAAATATTCTCATGAAATATTTGCATTATTAAAACTTGAAGACTATGAAAGACAGAAAATGGTACTCAAAGGAATTTGGCTGGTTTCGCATGGAAATATTGGGGTGCTGGACATCCAGGCTTAGGGATGGAATGGGCGTTACTGGCAGCCAGCTCCCTGAGGTAGGCATAAATACCAAAGGAAGCGCAGCCCCCACGGTTTGAATTAGCTAGCAAGGTAGAAGACAAAAGAGCTCAAAGAATAACCTCCACGTCCTCCCACTCAGCACCCTTTCACGTCACTGCTTTTATTTCTGCTGAGCCTCTCAGTCTCTCTCTCGCCGATCCCGTCCTGCACTCCCCCAGCCTAGCAAAAACCTCCCTCGGAAATCCAGGCGTTTCAGTGAGTAAGCAGTGCTGGAGCAGCTCACAGTTCAGATCCAGGCAAAGCTCATTTCCTTTGGGGAATCAACAACAAAGTAATTCCTCTGAGAAAAGGGGTCACTTCACTGACTAAAATGGAAAGTCATTTATTAGTTACTGTTTTAGGACAGCAACAGCTACCAAGTCATCACTTTTCACTCACTGAGAATGCAACTGCATTGGTGGGGGTGAAGGTACTTCAAATAAGGAAAGGGGTCCAATTTCAAAACAAAGACACTCACGTTGCTTAGCACCTTGGTGGCATTGCACAACATGAGCCAGCCCATGTCCTCCAGAGCACCAGGAGCCACGGGGAGCCTCAGACAGCGATCTCCAGAGGGAACCAAACCTCTGTGAAGCGCTTGGAGCAGGCAGCAGTGGGAACTGCAGGGCAGTAGATGGAGAGGTGTCTGTCTCCTGCCTCCCTGATTCCTGCTTCTGCAGGTCCCCAGCTACTCTAAACTTGCTGGGGCCCAAGGCCTGGCTGCACAGGAGGCAGATCTAGGGGAGGTGGCACTGGGGAGCCCTCAGATCCTCTTCAGCCTCCGAGCTGTGGAGCCCACCCACCCACCTCACCCCCACCATCCCTGACAGGTAGGAAGGGGGAGCAACGCTGCTCCCTTCCAAACCCTTCCTCCCCCAATTTCCAAGTGTAAAGGGCACACAAGTAACACTGCTCTAGGTTGGAGGAAGAGGAGAGGGACAGAGTGGAACAGAGCTCCCATCCCTAAGTAAAACTGCATCTGTATTTTACCTCCAGCAAAAGACGCATTTGTTCGCACAAGCCAGGCTCGGCGTGGCCTCCATGCAGCGGTGGCTCTCGATTCCGTAAAACGTGTGTTTGTAGCAGCCTCCTCTGCCTCGAAGCATCGACTAACAGCAGAGAAAGACACATACAAATAGCAAGACAGTTAAAACACACCATCTGCAACCAAACTGAGTGCAAAGGTTTGAAATCTGCTCCCTGGGCATATTTGCATTTACTAGTCACTGGTATCGTTGGTGTTCAAAGTCACCTGCGACAGACATCGCAAGCGAGGTCACGGCTGTGGTACGAGTCTGAATAACGACAGATGCAGAGAGAAATTCAGAGCACGCAGATCAGTATAGGGTCTGATTGTTTATATCCGTCCTTACAGAAACAAGGCATTCATGATGTCAAGTTTACAACTGTTTTAGAGGAGAGAAACTTTAACATAATCAATAACTTCTCACTTGCAACACCACAGCATAACAAGGTGCTTTACTGAAGCGGCCAACAAAAGAAAGCAGGTGAAGCCACTTAAGCTGCATGAAATATTAGTGTAAAAGCCTACTAAAGAGTAACACGGATCAATTTCAAGGCTGCCCTACTGAACACTCAATTCTTTTCATTCGTCTAGTAGAGTTTTTCTTCTAGCACTGAATTAAATAAATACCCTGACCTTATAAACCCTCGTTCACACCAGTCAGCGGCTCCAGCAGGACGCTGGGCTTTCCTTCAGAGCAGAACCGCAGCAGCCAGCCCACCGGGAGGTATCTCCTATTTAGCATGCAAGTCGCTTGGAGCAAAGACTGTCTTTCATTATCTCAGTTAATTAATAATAAGTGAGAAAGAATCTTTACTACTCTCCAGAGAAAATTTGACACAGTAACTTTTAGTCTACCTTGCTCTACCTGAAGAGTCCTGGTGATCCAAGAGAAAGGCTCCACCGCGCAGCAGGGAAAGAATATACAGGTCACCCCTAACACGTGCACAGCCTTGTTACACAGTTGGGAGATTAAACAAAATGCTGTTTACTCTACCCATCCCTCAAACAATAGAGATTTCAGGAGATTCACAAATTCTAGGACAGCAAGTTACATTTTGGATTTCATAAGACAGGCACGTCAACCGACTCTTCCTAAAATTTGTGGGTTTTACACGCTTTTCCAGAACATGACAGAACACAATCATTTTAATCTGAGATATCGCTATGAAGCTCTACTTAATACTAATCCTTCTAGTCCTGCTCCTGCTTCCCGCTGATACAAATCTCAAACAAGCCTCCTGAAGATATTCACATATCGGTGTGAATCTGAGTCAAAGCCACTGCCTGTAACCAATTTCAGCTCAATTTATTAGAACACTTTATGTTCAATTCCTGCTTAAGCTAAAAATAGTGTGGTCCTATCTAAGCACACAGAGCTGCTATTTATCTTGTGAAATGACTTTACAGTGCTGCATTAAATTCCAGTTCTTTAATAAAAATAGGGTCTCTGGTTTTCTCTCTCAGTCACAGCATTGATGAAGTTTGACAAGTTTTTCTTTAAACATTTCATGGCCTTCTCTGACGCTAAAAATGATAGAAGAGAGAAGTATTTGTAAGAGTAAACAGCAGAAGCATCAGTGGGATCGGTACGTCTCACAAATATTCATGACAATACAGTGGTGGGCTCTTTAAACAGTTCACAAGAACGAGTCTTGATGAGACAGTTCATTGATATCAGGCATTTCAGTAAGAAAACCTCGCTGCAGCCACCCACTTTGGTGATTGCCATTCAAAGAGCTCTTTTCAAAAATAAACAAAGTTAATCATGCAGCAAAAAAGAGAGCTGAGAGACCAAGGAACTGATCACTGCCACAGTGAGAGAATTAGAGATGCGCTGGCATTTTAACGAGGTGATGATTCCCACAGTTTATCATCCCACGTATGCTGAAGGCTTTAGTATGTTATATCAATGTTACTCCCCAAATGTATAACATTATAGACCAGCCTTCAACTTCTGAGCTTCTTGGGGACCTGCAAAGGACAGCCGAAAAAATAAACACACTGAAGTGGCTGAAGTTTGGCCTACAGGGCTCTGTGCCTCTGCTGGGAACATTTTTAAGTCTGCAAACTACTTGAAAAGCTCCTGGCTTACATAGCCTACAATACACAACTGCAGGGCTTGGAGGATGACTTTTTCATATATATATATAGCAAACGCACAGATGAAAGTGGGGAGGGATGAACATAGAATCATATCATAGAATTGTCAAGGTTGGAAAAGACCCTTAAGATCGAGTCCAACTGTTAACCTGTCACTGCCAAGTCCATCTATACCATGTCCTCAAGCACCACAGCTATCCGTTCTTTAAATCCCTCCAGGGATGGAGACTCAACCACTGCCCTGGGCAGCCTGGGCCAGGGCCTGACAGCCCTTTGGGTGAAGAAGTTTTTCCTAATATCTAACCTAAACCTCCCCTGGAGCAGCTTGAGGCCGTATGTGTACATACACAGACGTATTATATACAACTATATACATAACATACATAGACACACACTCCCATAAGAGTAATTTGTTAAAAAATCCTTGCATTAAACAAGGGACAGGTACCTCGCTATCTGACTCTTACTTGATAAATGCTGAAAACCAGTGGAGGAGCAGTGAGTGTCACAAACCAGCTGTATCAGTCACAGAACAACCGGTTCAAACGCCCTTGTGTGCCCGTTGGGGTGCAGTGATGGACCGCGTTATCTTTGTTTCAGAAGACCTCACACTGGTGACGTAACCTTCCCACTTTTCCCTGCGGTGTTCTGCTCCTGCCATACATTTCAGTAGGCAGGAGATATTTTAGCAGACAGCAGAATAACAGGAAAAACAAGAGAAAATGATGTTCCCAGCTCTTTGCCATGGTCTCACTCTCACTCTTCACAGCGGGATTTTAAGAGCTTGAAATGCAAAGCTACAGCTTAGAAGATGAAATTTGGTTTTGTGCAAGTAATATCACATTTTTAAAGGATATTTCATCTGGAAATTGTAATAACTGAATAAGTCTCTAGCTTTTTTTTTTTTTAATTTATAGAATGAGAAAAGAAAAGAGGGCGTACCTTCGTCCACCGGCAGAGCTTCACCCCAGAATGGCTTCCAATCAGCTTGTAACCTGTAAACAAGAAATAAATCAAACCATCGATTTTAATTTACACAACCGATACACAAAGCGTATCAATTGGTACCCACAATTATTAAGCATCACCATCTCAATGCTGCTCCTCCCTGTTGGCCCAAAGGTGACACTACCAGCAAGATGTCAGTGCCCACCCACAGCACTCTCCGTTTCATTCTGGGGGCCTGCACATCAGAGCAAAGGCCACGGCCACCCAAGGGACTTTGGCCAGCTTGAAACCATTTCTCTTAATGGGAGATTGCTGTCTATTCCCCAGTCTTGTTTGAATCAACAGGGGGTGGCCACAACACTCTTCCATGTAACAGCATGGCAGACTAAAGAGTCTAGCCCAGCGACGTGAGACATCTGCAGTGACCCCAAGGGACAGCACATGGGAGGGAGCAGGACAGGGAACCAGCAGCATCTCCCTGGCCCTAAGCAGTCACCCCAGGACTGGCTCTTCCCCAGGACCAAGACGACACGTTCCCACTGCTCCTCAGCAGGTCTGACCAAGCCTGGAGGACAACATCCGACTCGCCGTGCAGTTGCGAGAGGGGAGGAAGAGAACTGAAATTCAGGGCTCAGCTTGAACCCAAACTTCACAGGTTTACCAGTTTCACCAGTCCTGTCTCCGCTGGCCTGTGGTGGAGCCACAGTGAGGGAGCCGTTCCTCCGTGCCCAGAGGAAAGCTGATTTCACATCACTTCCCTGTTCCCCAGCCAAGATCAACACAATTTCATTTAAATTTATTGGTCCAGGAGGATTAATTCCACAACGTTCGTTAAGCACTAAGTACTATTATTACCCAAACTGCTTGAGTTGGGTTATTTTCTTCTTTGAAAAACGTGCTTAGAGACCAATATGTCTGAAGGATTAAAAGTACTTCAAAATCAGCATAAAAATAGGAGGGATTTGAGAAGCCTCACTGTGTCATTCACACAGTAGCGTTTATACGTCAACAGCCTCGTCGTCCTGAAACCCAGTACGACTCAACTAGCCGCTTTAGGCTGATGTTCATATTAACACTTTCAAAGGAAATCAAATTTTAGGTACCGAGTCTCCTTCCTGACAACCAGCATGAACTTAACAGGGCGGAAAAAAAAAAAAAAGCCCTCTGTTCAGCAGAACTGGCCTTCACCTCCCCCTAGGAAAGGTGGCACAGTTACCCCTGCCCTGCTCATTTGTCACCGTGCATCTCCTGCACAGCAAGATCCCAGGGAAATGCCACTGCGCCCCAGAGTCCCCTCCACCTCCAAGGACACCGAGCCAGCCGGGAACTACAGTGACAGCAGATGCCACAACAGCTGCACCAGCTAAAAAAATCAAACCACGTGAAGACACGCATGGCTAACAAGGAATCATACAGCATCTAGACCCGCTGCTCTAGTTACTCTGCCACTTAAATCCAGCGGAGATCTGCCCGGTCTCCTCTTTCTTCTTGACCTGATGTTTACTCCTGCCTCCCGGCACTGGCTCTGACCTTAGGACAGATGCAATTTTAGCCTGATGGGTTCCCTGAGGTGACTCTGCAGGAGGCTGTACGAACGCGTGGGCCAGCACAGGGGAGCGGCTGGCAGCAGCAAGCAGTAGGGACCCCCGTTAGATGGCAAAGGGGCCGATTGCCAGATTAAGCAAGGCTTTGGCAAATTCAGCATCAGGCTGCTCCCACGTCCTGAGCTCCCCCTCCAGCTCAGTAGGAATGGACAATATTTCAACCTTTTCCTCCCTAAATGAATAGCTCCAAGCCTCAGATACATTTTCAGGGTTAAGCCAATATAGCAAGGAAGAACAAATTGCTGTAAGCCAAAAAGCCTTGGTATTTCACAAAGCAGATCATCCAATCCTTTCCTGGAGAAAGGCATCACTGTAACCCCGACCAGCACTTCTGACGTGGAACTGATAGTCCCCCCAAAGCCACACGCAGTATTTTGGACACCTTTATCTAGGGCTGGATCAGACCCAGACGACCTTGTGGCAACTTTTGACAGACGCTTGTCAGAGGCGCAGCCGAGTACGCGCAACTGCATTCGGCTGCGTCACATCATCCCCTCCCACCCTGGGTCCGTCCTGCCTATTTCTTCTACATTTCTTTGCAAACAGGCTTGTCCAGCAAGGTCTAATCTCAACCAAGACCCCCCTGCGCTGCTAGAATTCATGTCCTTACTGGATTTCTTGACGAGCATGGAAAAGGGCGATACATGCCTCCTGCCTCTAATACGGCTGTCCAAGCCAGACACTTGGCTGATGTCAACCAGCACAGCCCCAGCCGTATTTTTTTCCATTTTTCAGAATCCAGCAACAGCATTCACGCAAGATTATTCTCTCACAGATCACTTGTCACCAGAAGTAATATGGCTGCTTTAAAATGGGTTTTAGATTAAAATTAAATTGGAAATAGGACATGCTTGCCCAGATCTGCTACCGAGTTGTTTGAGAGAAGAGAGGAAGCAGCTAAACAGAGCAAGGTGCCAAGCTCCGGAGCCCAAAGCTCCGACATTTTCTCTTAAGTTGCTTAAATCAACTTCCACCATGTGGAGCGCCCACAGCTTCCTATAAAGGCCAAGAAAATTGTACACGTTCAACATCAAAACAGAGTCTTACAAACTTCAGCCAGCTTTAGTGATGAGAAGGGGTTTACTCATCTTATTTGCTGCTGCCAGGAGTCACAGCTACGGTTACAGGAAGAAACAGCATATTCCTGCAGAACTTCTTAAGAGCACTGTACGAAGCTGCTGAACTCGGGCCTTCACCATGGAGGTAACTCTGGTAGAAAGTGGGGTTACCCTGCTAAGCCATCGCGGTGAACACTGGCTGTGCCGTGCTTTTTCAGGCTTGGAAATGAAATAAATTAGTGACCAACGCTGAACACTCTTTACACACCTACTCTGGGTGAGCAGAGTCCTTCCACCTCTGTAAAACCGTTTCTTCAAGTACTTGCTTTACCGCTGGCTAGTAACGCAGGCAGCAAACCAATTCGGGCTAAAAGAGAGTACAAATGGTTAAGCAAGAACCAAGCAGCACTGAGTTTCAGACCAAACATGGGAGAAAAAGCGTCGGAGAATCAGTCTGAGGGTCTTCTCAGTTCTGTTTCCACATCGCTGCTTCTGCTGAACAACCCTTTTGAAAGGTCAGACTAGCTCATCTCTTCCATCAGCTTTGCTACAGCTTCACCGCGGCTCTGCCAAGGCAAATGGTGGGTGAATCAAATCTTACTGATGGCCCAGAAATCTGCACCTACCTATGCCAGGACTCGCTGTGAACACATTCGCTTCTTTGCTCTTAAGACATATTACTTGTGAGCAATAACTCTAAGTGAATATTTGGATACACCACCTTCCAAGCAATACAGCAGGGTGTTGTCTTGATGGGACTCTGCTCACAGTCCCTATGTATCTTCAGATACTAAGGCTGAACAAAACCAATCCATTCTACAGCCTAATATTCAAAGGACTCCTTAAATAATAAGCAGGCTCAAAGTAATCAGCTCGACTCCTGACTAAAGGCACAAGAATGTCTGATCGGAAGTCTGTGTTAGCTGATCCTGCTCTAGATGATAAATTTTGGAAGACCTAGAAGCCTGCCAAACTTCATTAAGTGTCATTTTTAGCTATAATAAGACATGAATTAAGCTTCTAAACAAGCTTTTGGGTGAAGTGAGCGTTATCAGGCAACACCACTAGGCGTTAAACATTCGGTGATTGCTCGCCCTGACAATCCAACTGGAGTTTAACAGCCCACAGACAGACTTTTAACCAAAGAGATGGCCAGCGTCACGTCGTCTGGGGCAAAACTGTTCTGCAGCCACTTAAAACTACATTGCAGCATTTCAACTCTATCATGTACATAATAGTTTGAAGAGTCCATTCTCTGAAACTCAAAAGAATTCATCGAGGGCCCCTACGGAGCTCTCAGCCACTGAGACAAGAAACTGCTATCTGCATACCCATGTCGCGTTCCAGGATATCAAGGTATTCTGGTTGTGGTGGTGCTAGTTTACCAGTGCCCTACACGTAACAAGTCTTCCTAAGCTCCTGAACGTGGATGAATTATGTGCATGTGAGCGATTACGTTACTTTAATTCTGAAAGAAGAACAGACATAGCCAAGATAAACCAAATTTCTACAAGTACATCTGTCCAAATCAGAGGCAGCATTATGATATCTGGAGTCTTAAAAAAAAAAAAAAAAAAGCATCTGTAAGACAGCCATACTAAACAGCTTTCAAAGATTGCTGACTATCCCAACGTGGCAAAATGTCCAGAAGAAAACCCAAAGGCACCTTCCAGTACAGACCTCTACCCCACCAAAACCTTGCTTCAACAGAAGACTCTGAAAACACAAAGTAAAAGATTTAATTATGAAAGAATGAAGTAGATCAGTGGTTGAAAAATCCCCAAAAGGTACAAGAAAAAGACTTAGCCATCTCAAAAAGACTTAGCCATCCTTCTCCAAGAGCGGAGTCACCGTAAGCTTGGTAAAAGCCAAGCTGATGTCACACGTGCTTCACAAACTCAGGTGACTTTCAGAAGGCTTTTCTCCTAAGAAGAGTAATATACAGCTGGCAAATCAGTGTGGTTCTATCAAGCAACCGCCAGAAATAAAAGCCCTCTGGTTTGAGGCAATGATTAACTGTTAAAGCTGAAGCTCCGCGCAGAAAGGGGAACTTCACACCAGGAGAATGTTTACAGGGAAAAACGTTTCCCATTTCCTGCCGATTTGCGGAGCGTGGTTTAAAAGCTGAAGGTCAGTGACACAGCAGTAATCCATCACCACCACTTTAAGGACCATTTGAAAGTTGTAACACAATTGCTACACTGGAGCCACTGCCCAAAAGACAACATTCTGACTAAAGCTAGAAAATTAATAAGAAAAAAACCCAAGAAATACTGTTGGTGAAAGGAACCTGTTCAAATTTTATCAGCATTTGATACCAAAATAGAAAGAAGTGGAATTTTTCAGATTGCCCAAGCACGATAGGGAAACCTCCAGTTTCATTCC